ATTGCTTATGCCTTGACCGGTTTAAGTCCAATCCGGACAACACTCATCAAGCGGTTTATTGATAAATTGCTTAAGCCTTAACCAATTTAGGGCTTAAATCGCCGAACCCTTGTCCGGTTTAAGACTAAACCGCCTGACTCTTGGCCGGTTTAAGTCTAATCTGGACAACACTTCAAAGTTAAAACTTTTAACTAAAAACAAAGTTCCTACAATGAATTATACAACTATGGAGAATTTAAAACAGTATAAACCACTCACCTTATGAATTTCTTTTTGAAACCAAATTGAATCCAACTTCAAACAAGTAATCCGGTCAACACTCTTCTTCTTTAAATCGCTCACTTGAGGTTCCAAAAATGGCAAGAAGAGTAAACTGGAGGCTAAGCCCTCCTTTTATACCCTTTCCTACTTAGGAAAGTCGGCTGCCTCATGAAGCCTTCACATGCATGCGTACATTCAATTACATCATCCATATAAACACTTATACATACATGCATAATTTAATACATGCATTCACTTCAGCATACTCACATACGTACATGCATAACATGCATATATTTCTTATGCATAAAATTCACATATTTGTTGCATACCCATTTATGCACATAATTTTCACACATTAGCATGATCAAATATAACAAATTTATCATGCTATCACGTAATCACTTATCAAATAATCACACATTAATTACCTTGGGTGATAACCAGGATCCGGTTATCACATTATCCACCCCTCAAAAGAATTTTGTCCTGGAATTTCTTTAATCGAAAAGCCAAGGGTATTCTGATCTCATTTTTTACTCTACTTCCCATGTCGCTTCTGGTCCTTTGTGAAACTTCCACTAAACCTTTACCAGACTATCTCTTTGTTTCTCAACACTCTGATCTTTTGGTCAATTACAGCTTCCGGTGTTTCCACAAAGTTCAACTTACTGTCTAATTTAATTTCTGGCATCGGTATGGCTAGACTCGGATCAGCAAAACATTTCTGCAGATTCGACACATGGAAAGTGTTGTGAATCAGACTCAGTTATTCTGGCAGTTCTAACTGATAAGCTACTGGCCCAATTCTCTTACATATTCTGAACAGCCCCACGTACCTTGGACTGAGTTTTTCCTTCTTTCCAAATCTAACGACACCCTTCCATGGCGAGACTTTTAACATCACAAAATCACCTACGCAGAATTCAATCGGCTTTCAACGATTTTCAACATAACTTTTTTGGCGATCTTGTGTTGTTTTGATTCTTTCGTGGATCTGTTTGATTTTCTCAGCAGTTTCTTGGACAATTTCAGGACCCGTCAATTGTCTTTCACACACTTCATTCCAACACAACGGCGTTCGACATTTACGTCCATACAACACTTCATACGGTGCCACTTGGATGCTGGAATAGTAATTGTTGTTATATGCAAACTCTATTAACAGCAAATGATCTTCTCACGATCCCCCAAAGTCAATAATACAACTTCTTGTAACATACACTTTCGCAAATACGTTGCAATTATCCACTTTATACGTGTTTATGTGATCAAAACATAAAATTTGGAAGCAAAACCGAATGCAATAAACTATATATAAAATAGTCGGAATCATCATACGAGACCCGGGGCAAAACAATTAGAAAGAAACGGGTCAAAAGCATCAATATCTACGTTACGGATACATAAAAACTGACTTTTATTGGAAGATATTTTTTGAAATATTTCTATTGTAAGTTGTAGATTATCTTTTTACGAACGCGTGAGTGAAAACCACGTCAAAAACGGAGGTCTGAGCGAAAAGTTATGCGATTTTTAGCGATTAGTGGTCAAACCGAGTTTTCAGCCGAGTCAACTCAGCCCCAACTCGTAAAAGTCRAATATACATGATGTTTACCTTCTTTTTCACCCAAAACAGAGTTTCATCTCCTATATTTACTACCAGGGGCAATTTTGGCTTCATAGGGGTGAATCAAGGTTGTTTCAAGRGGTTTTTGCTTGAGTTTTATGCCAAATTCATCCTCCAATTAAGGTATAGTTATTTCATAGGTTAATTTCATGATTTGAAGCTAGTTAGAGATGAAACCAATGAAACCTAATCTGAGTTATATTAGTAATATGTTGTATTTATATTGGTTATAGCCTAACTAAGTTGTTATGATGCATGATTGATGAATTAGAGCTTTCGAAAATGAAGAACATAGGTTGAACTTTGATTTTCTTCATTAATGGCTATTTTGGTGAAATTCTTGAGTATTGATCTTGTAATCAATAATATAAACATGGTTAGATGGTATTTTGATTGTTGGAACAAAGATTGAATCCAAAATATGGATTTTAGCCTATTTAGTTGGTGAATTTGACAGCACCGAATCTATCTGATATGTTGTTTTGAATGTACGATAATTTCTTAACCGTAGCTCGGATTTCTACGATTTTGGACATTTTAGAAATCTTATATGTAGATCTAAACCTTTCCTTTAGATACTTTTTATAAATAAGGCTTTTAGGTTGGTTATAATTGCGTCTAAAAACTGATAAAAAGTTGATTTTGAGCTGTGAATTATAGTGCCTAATATGAGTTTAAATTAAGTTTGGTTAAGTTTTTGTTGCCGGATCTTTATGAAACTTTAGGTACATATTACAGGTGTTAAATAAGCTCACTTGGTCCTTGCAGAGTGACCGTTGGTCGACGTTTAGACATATATGGACGTAGAGCCTAATTTGGCTCGATTTTTGAATATCGAAAAGCACTGTGAGTTTATGGGGATACTTAACTTGCTATTTGCTAAACATGTGTTATCTATTTGCTACTTGCTTCCACACTCATCCATGTTATGTCTTCTTATCAATTTCAAGAGATTATTGGCTATTGCACTCCGTCCTTCCATACGTGCTACTCGGTGGTTACTTTGTGTTTCACCCGGGGAGGCACGCTTAAGCCCATATTAGCGGAGATTACTCGGGTATGGTGCATATTTGACCGTGTTAGAGTCCAGTCATTTTCCCCATTGTCCGGGATAGCTCGGGTGGGAAGATCATTCCACTGGCCGGGATAGCTCGGGTGGTATGAAATCTATGATATATATTGTTATGCTAGCCACGACCGGGATACCTCGGTGGCAGTACATATCAATTATTGACTTTCACACGATCTATTTGTTGCATACTTTGATATTCAGATGTATGATTCTCGAATGATGATTACTTATTACATGATTTACATCCTTCGTGATCATTGACTTCCATGGATTACATTTGTGAAGCTTTAGTAGTTAGTAGTTCCCGTTTACTCACTAAGCATTATGTGCTTAACCTTTTAGTTGTTCACATTTTTACAGGCCGTGTAGATAAGGCAAAGAACAAGCTCGAGTAGATTGAGATCTTTGCTTTTGGTGCTTCCAGTAGCACGACTCTTTTGGTATTATATAGTTAGTCGAATACAGCTATGGATTGTAAATTATTAGTTGTCTTTTGGTTGTAACGGCAAGTATCTAGATAACGGGTAGCTAATGTCCTTCGTCTTGTATATAGTTTAAGCTTCTGCAAATCTATGAAGTTTATTTTGTCCGTTTTAAGATATTTTGGAAATCAGGTGCTTACGGAAACGTCCTATAAACCAAATTTCGAATTAGAAACTCGTAAATATTATATTCCGTTTGCTTTCTAATGGTTTAAAAATGTAACTTTTGGTGGTTTGTTTACCATTTATAGAAATAAGGTATTCAACCTGGTATCATTTATGTAATCTGGGTCTTTCAATTTGGTATCAGAGCGGTGGTTTAAGTGAACTGGATACCAGCGACGGTATCCGGACTTAAACCTTGTGTCGGTATTATGTAGTAAGTATGTTTTGATTCAAATGGGATATGAACTTAGGAGAAACCTAAATGGGAATTGGGAATTTGTTATACGATTCTATTTAATGTTATGTATACATTGTAACTTTCAGAAAGATGGCCGACGGTGATGAAGCTAGTCACACCCCATCTAACGACAATGTAAGAGAAAATGCTCCACACCTGGAGATTTATGATGATGAGGCACCGATGTCTCCTCGAAGCGAACGTTTAATGCAACGTATGACTTTATTAATTTAGCAAACATTAGCCCAACAACGACATGACGATAGAAAGTCTGAAGATGATAAAAGTAAAGGTAAGGAGAAAGAAACAGGTGACACCTCAAAACCCAAAACCGACCGAGCCTCTTTTAAAACCTTTCGTGGTAGCGATGCTACTGAGTTCTTTGGGAAGGTTGATCCATTGGAGGCACTTGAATGGATATTGAATACTGAGAAGGTCTTTCGCATCACCCGAGTGCTATGTGATGATAAAGTGAATTATGCCACGGCCATGTTCAAAAGTAGGGCCTTGATATGGTGGAATGCTACTTTTGCAGCTTTAGGTGAAACTGAAAAAGAAGGTATGCCTTAGGAGTCTTTCAAAACTCGATTTAACAGGCAATATTGTCCAATTGATCTACAAAAATGATTTGAGAAGGAGTTTCTTGATCTTAATCAAGGAAAGATGTCAGTAGTGGACTACGAGACCGAGTTCAATCATAAAGCACAGTTTGCCACACGTTTCTTGACAACAGAACAGGAACGTGTAGACCACTTTATAGACGGATTGCAATCAGAGATTCGAGATGTCGTCGCTAATCGTGACATTTCAGAGTTTGAGAAAGCGGTGGATTCTTCACAACGGCACGAACACGATTTGACCCGCTCGGATCGTAATCCAGCTCCGCCAGCCAAGCGACCTCGAATTGAAGGTGCCATATTTGCACCAACACAGCAATTTTCTAGGAATTTCAATCCGAGATACGCTCAATCTCAAGCTAGATCGCGACCTCAATCTTGGTCCCAAGTTTATAGTCTTCAGTCAAATGCTCCTCCACCTTGTTCTACTTGTGATAAGGCTCATCGGGGCTGATGCAACACTGTTCGCCCTGAAGTTAGATGTCATGGTTGTGGTGAAGTTGGACACGTGAGACCGAACTGCCCGAGGAGGGATATGACATGCTACTCATGTAGTGCTATAGGCCATCGTCAGAGAGAATGCCCTCGATCTAAACCTGAGGAAAGTAAGGCTTCTGTTCGCCGACCTTCTACTAGTGGTGCTCCTCGTCAAAAGGAGGAGGTACCACGCGTCCAGGCCAGAGCTTTTCAAATCACTACTGAGGAAGCTCGAGATAAACCGGATGTGGTTATGGGTATATTTCTCGTTAATTCTCATCCCGCTCGTATCTTATTTGATTCTGGTGCTACTAATTCATTCTTTTCTCATACGTTTGCTCGATGTTTAAACTTTGTGCCA